CGTTGAGTCCTGGCGTCCTTTTCCCGTGCTAAACTACCACAGCTAGCATGGGAAGGAGCATGGAAACAGGAGGTTTGGTGGTCGGAAAGCTTTGACAGAAACCAAGTGCTGTGTGGTTCCACATGCTTGGTGTGCGCTTACCTGGCTAGAGGCAGGTCAGCACGCTGCAGTGGAAATCCATTTGTGTTATAATTGTGTCTTTGGGCTATTGCGGGCAAAAAAGAGGCGGCAGCCGGGTCGGTGTCTGTGTTGGGGTCCTTCGGTCCTCACCCGACGGAGGGCCTCCTCATGCAGAAGAGCTCTTACAGGGCCTTTGGGCACTTGCAGTAGCTCATGGGCTGAAAGGATAAGCAAAACCCAGCGATTCATTGGATCATTAAAAAAAGTTACAAGGAACATTATACTCCTGTGTATTAATACTTTCTTCTCCAAGACGAAAAGTTCAAAAGGTCTTTAACCTGCTTTAAATTTTTTCCTCTCTTATTTTTTTAATGTGGGTCTTTTGGGAACGATATTCATAACCCTTTGGTAAAGGTGTTTTCCTGTAGGCAAAACCGAAGACAAAAACTGAAAGACTATAATAATCAAGTGCAATTTAAAACCTGTTACATTGTCTGTACAGTAAGTTTTCACAATACCAGTAACTTCTTTATCTGAAAGGGAAGGTCTTGAATCACCCTTTTTGGGTAAGAGTGGATCTTCATGTTGCACAACTGTTAGTGCTTACTTTTGTCTTGTTAAATAAAGTAATTTCTGTTGTTCTGGGTGTTTTTTCTTCAAGGAGGAAAATCTCATGGTTTCAATTTTTAATGTGTTAGCCAATGTCGGTAGCCAAAAGGCAGCTTTGGTGGGCTCTGGTTGGGAGTGCAGGGCGGGCACTGGTGCAGAGCAGGGGAGTGGAGGAGTTTGGTGCGTCTTGGCCAGGACGTTGGGCACGCTCCGTGCCAGACACGATGCGGCTGGTGGGTCCCCATGGCGTCGGCCTTTATAGCGCTGAGGGTCTCCTTCCTCCTGGGCAGGCGATGGAGGCTACTTGAGGGCAGCGCGTCGTGCTGTGTGATTTAGCGTGTGCAACGGGACCACCACGTCTGTCTGTCTGTTGGCTTTGCGTACCTGTGTGGGGAGGCTCACAGCCTGCTCTCGGAGTCCTGAAAAGCCTGGGAGGGAAACGCTGGCTTTGGGCAGTGGAGGCCGTGCTGTGGTGTCGAGCCGTGTGCTGGCCAGCGATGGCAGCGTGGCCCAGGCTGGTTTGTCCCACGCCAGGAGTGGCACCTGGCAGTTCAGTGGTGTAGCCGGCAGGAACAGGTCTGAAATGAAATGAAAATGGCTCTTCTAGATCAGGAAACTGGGTACCAGTCACAAACTCAGGTAGGTGATGCTGTGCTAGAAGAGAAGGCGCAACAGAAAGAGCTCCTCTTCTGCACCTGTATCTGTAGACCCTTCTCCACACGGACATTAGCGGGTAGATATTTGGCGATCACGTGTCGTCTGTTGTGATGGCTTTGCCGCCTGGTTCCAGTGCCTTCACCGCATGTCACCACCATCGGTTAATTATCTCTGAATAATCTCTTCATTGCTGCTTCAACTGCTCTCTGCTCTTCAGTTGCTTCACATCAAAATGTGCCGCCCATCTCAGGTGTCTCCCCCTAACCTGTTTGCTTGAGAAGGGCCGAGCTGGAGGGCTGGGGAAGGACGTTGCAACGGGGTTTGGATCTCAGCAGACAAGTATTGCCTTACTACCCAGGATGTAGCGTGACTTGGCAAAAACGGATTTGGGGGAACCACCGTTGCTAGGAAAAGATTTGCAGTTTTTTTCCCTCAAGGGTATATCGATGATAGTATTTTCAAGGCATTTGACTCTTGAAATTCATGTAAATTTAGGGTGAATAATGATGATTCTTAAAAACCCTTTCAGGAGGTTTTTGGAAATACAGCAAATTCTGGTTTGTCTCTGAGAAGAACTTCTCTGCAGCTACACTGAGTGCAGATGAAAGTCCCTAGCTCTCAACAAGTCAGGTCCTGGGCCAGCTTCCAGTTGCTTTGGCAAACCATATGTTACGTTAGAGTTTGGTAGATTGCCGAGATGATTGTTCAGTTGAGTGCAAAGCAAGAGAGTGGGCTCGATGCCCCCCAGACGCCCTGTCTGTGCTCTCCTCTCAAGTATTAACAATTATAGGGGTAGTCCTTTCTTCGCGGAATTATTTAGCAGGAGAGAGGGAGAGAGAACTTCATCAAAGGCGGGGAAAGCACCAAAACTTCTCTTTCAGCTGACTGATGAAACTTTAATAAGGGAATTGATGAAAATTTAATAAGGAAACCCTGCTTCAAGAGCGTTACTCATCTATGCTGGCGGAAGACTGGCTATCCAGGCAGCGAAGGCTTACGTTATGTTGCTGCTTTCCTGGGCTTTTTGGGGAAACTGCATCTTCTTCTCCAAAATAAAAGAATTAAATGAGAAGCGAACAACCTTTCTGCTCCTGTGCCCTGTAAGAAACCAGTAGAAAAGTAATTTTTCTAGGCAACGTTAGTTTTCGTAAGAGTTACAGAAGATGTTTTGTGGATTTTTCCCAACTACCGACAGCTGGAATTAGGAATGAGTGCAGGCTCTTGGAGGCCAGGTGTTTAACCTGTTGCTGTGTTCTAGTCCTCAGGTGAATAAACAATAAACTTATATTAATCAGTTGGGTTAGTTGACTACTGATTTTTTTTTTTAAATTTCCATTGTGACTCTGGCAGAATAATCTGTTTTTCATCTATCTGTGGTTGAATGATCAAAACTTTACTATTTGTGATTTTTTTTTTTGTCTGTGTGCCTGTTAATTAGTGCATATGCAGGTGTTGCAAGTGAATTCTTGGCATTGACAAATACAGTAGAAATAATAGAAGGGTTTTTTGTGATGCTTACTGAAAATATTTGACTTCTGTTTTGCTAATGCAGAGCTTATTTTGTTGGCAAATAATTGTTTATAAAGAGTTAGGAGCAAAGCTGCCAGAAGTTAGTATAACAGATAGCCTCAGGAGCCCCAATTAGCTGCAACCAAAGCAGGTTCCTTTCCAGAAG